AGGGAAAGATTACCAATAGCTATAAAAACATTTGGTAATACTTATATCTACCGATTAATGTTAATATCATTAGAGACCAGACATGTGCCTCCTAAAATGATGTACAGGAAGTACACTTAAATACACTTAGAGGTACACATCAGGAATACCACTTATCCAACGTTCATTCCCCATATCTCCAAAAACAATCAGACTTGAATCTGATCAAGTTTCTTGATTTAACTACCAGTTTTAAGGAAATATAAACAGGAGAGGGGCTTCCCTGGTAGCACAGCGGTTAAGAATCCGCCTGCCAATACAGGGGACATGGGTTCGAGCCCTGGCCCGGGAAGATCCCACATGCTGTGGAGCAACTAAGCCCGTGTGCCACAACTACTGAGCCTGCGCTCTAGAGCCCGTGAGCCACAACTACTGAAGCCCACATGCCTAGAGCCCGTGCTCCACAACAAGAGAAGCCTGCACACCTCAAGGAAGAGTAGCCCCCGCTCGCCACAACCAGAGAAAAGCCCGTGCGCAGCAACAAAGACCCAATGCAGCCAAAAATAAAATAAATAAAATAAAATAAATAAATTTAATAAAAAAATAATAAATAGGAGAACTTGTTAAACCATGGGAATTAAAATCAGCAAAACCCAGACTACAGGAAACTCTCAGGAAAAATGACTGATTTCTTCAACAAATAATTTGAAAAGAAAAGAAAAAAACAGAAGAGGGACCCATGAGTTAAAAAAGATATAACCATATCAATCAATGTGTGGACCTTATTTAGATCTTACTTTAAAAAAATTTTTTTATGAGATGATCAAGGAAATTTGGATACTAACTAAATATTTTATTATATGAAGAAACTGTTAAAAATTCTAGATGTGATAGTGGTATTGTGAGTTGTGACACATACTGAAGTATTTATAACTGAAATTATATGATATTTCGGATTTGCTTCAAAATATTCTGGGTCACTGATGTGTAGAGGAAAATAGCAGGTACAGATGAAACAAGACTGACGATGTGTTGCTCATCCTTGAAGCCGGGTAATGGGTACAATGAGGGTTCATTTTACTATTCTATCCACTTATGTGTTTGGAATTTTCCATAATAAAAAAGAAAATTTCAGTTATCCTGTTTCGTGGATGACCAATTCAGAATAAGCATTCTAACTGGTAGAATTTAAGACTTCCTGTATGAGCCAACCATACACAATCCCCCTACTCCCTACCTCTGGAACCATCTCTACACTTATAAACATGGAGTCAGCCACGAAGTTATTGCTACTAAGACTCTTCCCCCTCTATGACCAGCTGCCCCTATAAGACTAACCAGAGACAGATACATCAGCTCTAAAACAGTCTGTCTCTAGTCCCCAACAGAAGCAGACACTGAATGCCCTTGTCCCCTAGGCACCCACACAAGAGCTGCTAAAGAAGCTCTGCAGTCAGAATCACAACTGCAGTTTATATATTACCACTTCCACTAACATTTACCTTTTTAAAAGAAAATGCCTTAATTTCCTTAGCACTTATATCTAAAATATCTCAAACAAAAACCCAAAATAATCATATAGTTTCCTTGAGTATCTACATTCAGATAGTTTACTTTTACATCTTTCATGCTGTATTGAATTTATGAGAAATCTTTGAGATGTCTAGCTCCCCTAAAATGACGTAGGACTCGAAGAGATGTAGGATGCTAAGAAACAAAGGAGAAAATAGGGAAGTCATAAGTTCCCAAGAGATTCAGAAGATAGTTGGAGAAATATAAGAATGAAAAACAGAAGCACAGAATATTCATTTTGCTTAAAAATATTTCGATAGTAACTAAGAGAAATACCCCTCTTATCTCAAATAATAACAATTTCCTTGGAAGAACAGTAATCCTTCTAGTACAGCAACACTTTGGCAAACTGTGATGAGCACTAGAAAGGAACAACTATCAATGGATGATAACTTTGATACAGGGGTGAGTCAGATGAGGAAACAGATGGTCTTTCCTTCTCTCATCACCTTGAAATTTTGAAATGGTGAATTTGGATCAGAGTTTGCAACCAACATTTATATAGATTTTCTATATAAAAATTATTTCTATTTTAAAAAATACTATGTTGTAGTTTACTGCTGCACAAACAGAAAGGTTGGAATGGTTTATTTAAATTACTTAAGGTAACAAATAAAAGAAAATTTCAAGCCTACTATTTCCTATCATTGACTGAGACATTAAATGGGTATTGGAGGCAGAAAAGGACAGATACTCTCACATCCTACCAGTTAGACCTGCAGAATGAATGAATACTGACTGCATCTGCATCTATGTAACCTCTTCCTTGCTAACAGTTATATGGAACACACTAAAATTACTAAAGCAATTATGAAAAACACTTTTCCTATTTGAGTGCCTGCATCACCACTAGTTCATAAACTAGGATATTTCCAAGTCTCAACCTATCCTAAGCTATATATTGTGCAAGTAAAATTCAATGAAAACGAACATTAAATACTGTTCTATATTGCTTCTGTGCTCCCTTTGAAAGACTACAACCATGGCTATGAATTCTGTATTATAAATGGCTCCCTCTGATTCCCATCTTAAGACTTACCAACACTATAAAAAGAAAATTCTGACAGTGTGCTATCTGCTCTTTATATGAGAGGAAAACAAAGATTTGGAAGAGAGCTCAAGTGATTTAAGCTAACATGGAACTGAGGTTTCCACATTTCCTTTCCTCTGCTATTAAGCAGCAATTGTCCTTCAGTTCAGCCTCAGTTCCTCTCAATACTTTCCATCATCCTCCATACAGAAAAATTTAGAAGCCTGAAGAAAAGGTGAATGGCATGTCCTTGAAATCATCCTCTTCCCCCTACTTCTTATCATTGGGTAATTTACTTTGAAGAGGTTGTAGGTTGTATATTTAATGTTTCTTCTGAAAAAAACCTACAGTAAAATAATTTCAAGTTCCTCACTTAAAAATTTCATTATATTACAGATATTTGTATATGCCTTTTAAATTTGTGGTGACAAGATTTAACCTACATAATTGCCTAGGTGACTAGGTACTGTGCATTTGGAAAAAAAAACTCAGAGTAAGGATATTAATATAAGGAAACTGAGTAACCCACTATCTTGACATTCTCAAACTAGGGGAGGGAAAGTGATAATCTCTGATATAACAGATGGTACCTTCACACCCAAAGCATACAAACACACCCACAAAGTCTTCTTCAAAATTCCCACACCCTAATGTTCATTGCAGCATTGTTTACAATAGCCAAGACATGGAAGCAACCTAAATGCAACCTAAATTCGTCAACAGAGGAATGGATAAAGAAGATGTGGTACATATATACAATGGAATATTACTCAGCCATAAAGAAGGATGAAATAATGCCATTTGCAGCAACATGGATGGATCTAGAGATTTTCATACTGAGTGAAGTAAGTCAGGCAGAGAAAGACAAATATCATATGATATCACTCATGTGGAATCTAATTAAAAAAAAAAAATACAAATGAACTTATTTACAAAACAGAAAGAGACTTACAGATACCGAAAACAAACTTATGGTTACCAAAGGGGAAATGCTGTGGAGAGGGATAAATCAGGAGCTTGGGATGAACATACACACACTACTATATATAAAATAGATAACCAACAAGGACCTACTGTATAGCACAGGGAACTCTGTGATATTCTGTGATAACCTATATGAGAAAATAATCTAAAAATGAATGAATATATGCATATGTATAACTGAATCACTTTGCTCTATACCTGAAACTAACACAACACTGTAAATCAACTATACTCCAATAAAATTAAAATATTTAAAAAGAAAGAAATTCCCATAAACACAGGGACAGAATTACCTGATGAATTACCACTTACCTTGTGCTACTGTTGACATGACCACAGATGGTGTGGAAGAAACCACAGCTGTTACTGCAACTGTATTAGGAATAGGTGATGGTGTAGAACTGCTGCTGCCACTGCTGCTACTACTGACCAGAGAGGACTGTGAAGCAGTTATAACCACTGGTGGCTTCTGAGTTGTGGAAGCAATGACTGATGTTGGTACAAGCTTAGTGACTGCTGCATAGTTATGGGATTTGGAGAGAATGTTGGGCACGAAGGTTGAACTTGGTGATGTGGTCACTATAATAACCTAAGGAAGATAAAATAAGTTATTTTCATGTACCTACCATACTACTAATGTATCTAGACTCACAGTTATATACAATTTAAAAATAGCTTATGAAACATGATGAAGCAATTCAAGAAAAAGAAATTTACAACTAAAAATATACAAAAGCTCTCCTTTACTAGTATCACCAAAATGTATTTAAAAGAAACAATTTTTACCAACCAAACATTTTAAAAGACAATATTCAATGCTGTACAAGATCAAGTAAAGTAAGCATTTCAATATACTGCTTAGGGAGTATAAATTGGCACAATTTTTCTAGAAAATAATTTGGATAGTCATTCATTTATAAATATTTGTTGAGCATCTACTATGTGCCAGGCATGGTTCTAGAGGCTGAGGATAGTGGAATGAACAAAACAGACAAAGTTCTTATTTTCATGGAGCTACATTCCAGTAAGGGGAGAAAAACAATAAACAAATAAAAAAGTAAATATATGTCATGTAGAGATAAATGGAAGAGACAATAAAGCAGGGTAGGAAATAAAAGAAAATGGAAGTGGTGCATGATTTTTTATAAAACGTTCAATGAAGATCTCTCTGATAAGGTGACAACTAAGCAGAAACTAGAAGTAGGGGTTGATCCATGTTGCTACCTAGAGGAAGAGCATCCAATGGAAGCGGGAGTAGCAAATACAAAGCCCCTGAGGCAGAAGCAAGCTTGGTATGTTCAAGAAACCTCAAGGACCCTAATGAACGGGATTGAAATGTATAAGGTAGAGAGCAGTAGGAGACAGATTTAGCAAAGTAATGGGGGACTAGGTGATGCAAGATCTTGTTGATAGCATATCAACATGTTATGATGAAAATGGCACTTTATCTCTGTGGTCTTCCTTCCAAAAACCTATAACCTTAGTCTAATCATGAGAAAAACATGAGATAAATTGCAGTAGTGGGGCATCCTACAAAATACTTGACTAGTAATCCTCAAAACTGTCAAGGTCATCAAACACAAGGAAGTTTGAGAAACTTTCACAGCCAAGAGGAGCCTAAGGAGACATGACGAGAAAATATAATGTGGTATCCTGGAACAGAGAAAGACAATAGGTAAAAACTAAACAAATCTGAATAAACCATGGACTTTAGTTAATATTAATGCATCAATATCAGTTCATTAATTGTAACAAATGTACCATACTAATATAAATTGTTTAGAATAGGGGACACTGAATACAGGGTATATGAGAACTCTCTGTATTATCTTTTCAATTTTCCTATAAATCCAAAACTGTTCTAAAAAATAAAGTACTTTTTAAAAAGCATTACTCGATCTGCTAGGTAAAAAGTACAGCAGGGCAGAGACAGTAGAAACAGGCAGACAAATTAGGAGGCTCTTTCAATGACCAAAATGTTTGTGGTAGAACTGATGAAAAGTGAACAGATTCTGAATATATTTAAAGGTAAAACCAACAGGATTTGCTCATAGATACACAGAATGGAGGGAAAAAGCGGCAGGAAAGAGACTTCAAGGTTAGCCAGTATGACTAGAAAAGTGTAGATGACACAGGACAAAGCATTTCAGACGGAGAGAACAGGACGGAGCAAAGGACTTAAGGTAGGAATTAGCTTGATGTATTTAAAAGCAGAAAAGAGAACCAGTGTAGCAAAAGCATATAGGGTAAAGAGGGGTTGCAAAAGTAAGCAGAGTCCAGATCAAATTTGTAAACCAGAGTAAAGAATCTAAGTTTTATACTAAGTATAACGGGAAGCCATGAGAGGATTTTAAGTAAAGAAACAACAAAACTTGATTTATATTTTAAAAGATCATTCTAGCTGCTATGTGGTAAGAGGTAAGAGCAGAAGCAGTGAAACTAGTAAAGAAGCCACTGCAGTAGACTAGGCAAGAAATGGTAGAGGCTGGTTGGACTGGGGTGTTAGTAGTCAAAATAAAGAGAAGTGATCAGATTCAGATTATTTTAAGAGGTAGAGTCAACAGGACTTGATGTATGGAAATGGCAGGGTTGAGGAAAAGAACAGAAACAAGATTAGCTCCTAGAGCTAATACACATTGGCCTATTTAAATCTCCCAACAATCCTATGACAGAGATACTATTATTATCCCCATTTTACAGCTAAGAACACAAAAATTACTTATAAATCTGTAGTATCAGTTTTATTCTGGGCAAGTATAATGGTAGTTTAATGATACCCCCAAACAACACAGAGTGTCTTCTTCCTCTTTCACCAAAATTACTTTCACCTACCTAGGAGAGAAAATTGTTTTGAAAAATCCAAAGAATTTAAGGGGGAAATTCTTTTTCATTTTTGTATCAGTCCTAAAGAAGTTCTGAAATTAAATCAGTCAGTCAAACTTACTGAGTATGTCTGTACTCAGTATTGACATCTCAAAGAAGCTTTGATTATATCATTATAATTATATATTTCAGTGTTAGAGAATTCTGTGTCCATTACTTTAAGGAGTTTGTTGATTATCTGAGGAGTCAAGAGAGACATACAAGTCTTGACCAGCAAACACCTCTATAGAGTTGACCAGCATACTTCTACATAGACTCAACCAGTAAACACATATATAGCACTATTACAAACACAACCATCAGCCATCATATAAACCGAGAAGTAGACTAATGTGGCAAAAAGACCAGAAGTTAAGAGTCAAATGAACCTGAGCTGAATCCTGCCTCTGCCACTAACAAATGGCAGGGCCCTGGACATGTTAAAATCTCTGGGTTCCAATTTTCATCTATAAAATAGGGATAATAATACCTACCTTGCAAATCATTATAAGGATTAAATGAGATAATGATGTGAAGCATCTAACATAGTGCTAGGCACATAGCAGGTGGTCAATATTTGGCAGTTCACAAATGGTACTTATTAGTATCTTGTTATTACTACTTAATAAATGTTAGAAGGATATCAGTAAAAGTGTTATAGATCAAATCAAACTGGAAATTTATTTTAATGTACTCTATTTTTGTTTCATTAAAAAATGTTATATATCTTTTTCCCAAATTCTGATACCCTTGAGAATCCAAAGAGCTCACAGTTACTAGCACAGCCAAGCCAATTAATAGTAATAGCAATTAGGTTTCATATTTGCCAATTCTGAACTAATAGTAGTGCCTTCCTAGAGTACAGTTTTTATAAGGACTCTGTGACACAGCTGAGGATTCACCAAGGCTTGGCAGGAAAGTAGGCCACAGTTAATAAACAATCTCTGTCATGGGTAGGGAAGGGGAAGCATTCACACTTGGGTCAAACATTTGCAATTTTAGAACTAGAGTATGCATGTAGAAGTCTAACATTAAGACAATAACTTCAGCAAAATAAATCTAGAGTCTTTGAGAGCATGTTTTAGGTTACAGGTACGAATGATAAAACATATTTTGAGATTTCAGTCTACAAACTAATTTCTGATCTGAAAAGGGGTTATCCAAAATTAGAGATCCACCTTGAAGAAAATTTACTTGCACTTTAGTTACATGTTACAACAAGGGAAACAAAGGGATTTTGAAACCAAGTGAACCAAACAGTGTTTATTCAGGCCATAATTCAAATTACTGACCTTCTAGCACTCACAAAAACTCCTTAAGAGTGCTGGGACTTGCACCCTAAGGATAAAATGAAAAATATCAATCAAGCATGTGAAAGCATAAAGCTATATTCTGTTGCTTTGTTTATATAAGTGTTGTACCAACGTTATACTCAAAATGAAGGCACCACATTAACACAGGTGGAAATTTGTCTACCCTGAAAATATATGACCTACTTGAATTTGAATCAAGTCCACAAATTCATAAGTAATTATACTTAATGTAAAAGTAACTTTAACTAAAGTAATTTCCTAAGCTGACTTCCATATGATTTGTGAGAAATCCAAGGTGAATGTATAATGGCAACAGCCTTACAGAGATTTCAAAAAAAATCCAATTATCCAGCAAAAGGAAAACAAAAAACATACGAAAAATCCCAAAGAATATCTATTAGTCCTACCCACACTCAGCTTGTCCAAGAAATAACAAAAGTAATGGCACTGAGTACACATGAAGTAAGAGTACAGTTTTACATCTAGAACATAATAGATACTTAGCAAATATTTGTGGAATGAATGAGTCTTTTTTTTTTTTTTTTTTTTTTTGCGGTATGCGGGCCTCTCACTGTTGTGGCCTCTCCCGTTGCGGAGCACAGGCTCCGGACGCGCAGGCTCAGCGGCCATGGCTCGCGGGCCCACCCGCTCCGCGGCATGTGGGATCTTCCCGGACTGGGGCCTGCATGTCCCCAGGGGGCCCATGTCCCCTGCATCGGCAGGCGGACTCTCAACCACTGCGCCACCAGGGAAGCCCTGAATGAGTCTTATTTTTAATTTAATTTGTTTTAAATGTTTATTTTTTAAACACAGTAGGACAAATCTAAGGTTCTGAGCCTGGAATCTCATGGTATGACTCATGTATGACTTTGGAGATAAATATGTCCTCTTATGAGCATTACAAGTCTGACAATCTCAACTATCCACTCTCAACTGACAATTCAGAAGAAAAGAAAAAATTAAAATATGGTAATGCCAGTGAATCAAAAAAAAAAGTTCACCAATTTCACTTAAAGGTGAGCCCCCATCTACTACAAGTATTTTTACATAGGTCAACTAAGAAGATTGGAAAGTTAATAATGTTAGGTGACATTTACTGAACACTCATCATAAGCACTATGTTAAGCACTTTCCATGAATCATCTCATTTAATTATCTAGTAAGCACTATTATTATCTTTGTTTTATATGGAAGCTGAGGCTCAAGAGAGGTGGAAAGCCAGTACTGGAACTAGATATACTTATTCATTTATTCATTCATTCATTCAACAAATATTAGTCAACACCTATTGCATGTCAGGCACTGTTCTAAACACTACGGAATAGTGATGAATAAGACAAAGTCTCTACCTTCAGTAACTTATACTCTATGGGAGAAATAGGAAACAAATAAATATAATGTCAACTAGTTATAAGCAAAACAGAATAAGGAAATAAAAGGACATGGATTTGAGATGGGTGCTCTTTTAGCTATAACTTTGCTGCATTATTTTCTCAAATATCAAATTAAAAGAGAAGGTGAGAAGGGAGAGAAGAGAGAATTACTGATAAAATAGATCCAGCAAAGAAGGTAATAAAAAATTACAAAAGTAGATTTAAAAATTCTTAGAGTATAGCAGGCTGAAGACACCTAATATACAGCTTGCCCAGAAAGCAATATTATAATAATATATAAAAACTGATATTCAGAAAGAGTCATTAAATACAAAAATTATGTTCAGTGTAACATTTAAGAAATCACCAAAAATAGTCAAGTTCTATATATTAAGGGGTAAGCTTCAGTGAACTGATAAATTTATTATTTGGAACAGCACATTCTCAACACTGCAATTAATTTTTTTTTTAAAGTTCACTGACTTCACTTATAGGTTTACCCCTTCTATTAAAATATTTTTATATAGGTCTACCAAAGAAGACTGGTAAGTTCATAAAGTTAGGTAACACTGCTTTCCATAAAATACCTGCAAGGGAAGGGACCTAACATTTTCTGAGTACATATATTATGCTGTACTTTAAAATACCCAATCCCATTTAATCCTCACGACAGCCTTATAAAATTGGCATTATTCTCATCTCACAGATGGGTAAACAGATTTAGAAAGACTAATTTATCTCAGGTCATACTGGAAGACCTGGGGTTCTAATCCAGGCCTCTTTGACTACAAAAATTCTTACTTGATTTTAACACTAAACTATAATGCCTCATCCTAAGACTGAAGCTAGAATTATATTACACAGATCAACTCACTGTCATTTCTAGTTTGTTAAGAAAATTATCATTTTTTATATATTATATAATGACATATTTCCAAGAAACTCAAGGAGTTTCTTTAAATGAAAATTATCATGAACCTGAAGATTTAAAAGTAGGAAAGACCGTCTATTGAAAACAAGAATTCATCTCTACTCCTTCCCCAAAATCCCTCTAAAACAGTATGAAGGGATTTTTTAGAAGAGGCACATAAACCCATAAGGTCAAAATGGAAAGGAGATGATAGCTATCAACTTCTGGAAAGTGGAAAACAAACAGACAAGTAGTAACTGATGAAGCATACTCAAGAAAGTGGAAACCTAAGACAGCAAACAGAAGAAAAAACAAGACAGCTTTCAGAGAACCACAGAAAGACTCAGTAATTTGAGAACACCAGATACTTCTGAAGTGGGGATAAAAGTGGGACTAAAAAGATGTAAATTAGTTGAAAATCTGTTTAAGCAGCATTAAGATCCCCAGCTATCCTCCCTTATCCTCAAGGAAGACTTAAAACTTATTCTCTTGAGGGAGAGATTGAATCCAAGGGAATCTGAGGATACCAGGCTGAGGCAGGTAGGTGCTATGCTGAAAACAAGAGAGGTTAGGGAAAGTCTATATACTGAATGATAAGACTATCCAGCCCACTCCCTGCCTTTACTCCCAAAATACTAGCAGACAGGCTTACTACTGTAGGCAAGACTGGAAGATTCTCTCTGAGGAAACTGTCCAGTCCATGAAAAAGCCCTAATGAGAATGACAACTGGTAGAGGTAAAGGGGTGGCAGGTGTTCATCAACAAAACAGCCCAGCTAGCTCAACCTACAATGAAAGTCACCAGCCAGCATGTCCCACCCTACACACAGAGCCTTCTGTCAGCTTTTAGTGTCCGTTTCCACAACCAGCATTTAAGGGAACTGAAATGGAAGAGATCAAAATGAAAAGATAAAAGAAATTTACAGGGAAGAGAGAAAACATGAAAGAAGAAAACATCAAAAAAAATTATCATGAATATCATCAGAAAGGAGAACATAGTGACTATGAAAGAGCAGGATGCTATTTTAAAAAAAAAGAAAGAAAGAAACTTTCAGAAAACCAGATAGAGTTACTAGAAATTTAAAATAGGATAGCAAAAATGAAATATTCCAGAAAAGTAATGAAGGATAAAGTTAAAAGATAAAGAAAATAATACTTACAGAGCATTTACTATGTGCTAGGCTCTGTTCTACTAGTTTGTATTTATTATCTCATTTATTTACACCCCAAAATCCTATAAAATAGATATATTATTTTCCCTATTTTACAAGAGAAAAACTTAGGTCTAGAGTTTAGTTTTCCCAAAGTCACATAGCTAGTAAGTAGCATAAAATGGGATTCAAATTCAGGAAGTCTAGTTCTAAAATCCAGGCTTTTAACTACTATACTACAGTAGAAAAAGCAAACAAATGGAAACTGGGGGTGAGAAAGACTGAAAAATTAAAGGATCAATCTAGGCACTCAACATCCAGAATAACAGGTGATCCAAAAAGAGAGGACAGAGAAAAATCAAAGAAATAATTCAAGAAATTTCCCAGAATGGAAGGATATGAGTGTCTAGAATTAACAGGGGCCACTGAGTATGTAACCCAATGGATAAAATAAAGACCCACACCAAGGAAAATTACCTTCAACTTTCAGAACTCTGACTTTTTCCAAGAGAAAAAGAGGATCTGGAATTAGAATGGCATTACTGGGCTTCTCAAAAGCAATACTGGAAGCCAACAGCCCATGAAGCAGTATCTTCAAAATTCTCAAGGAAAATGACTTCTCACCTAGAATACTTACCTAGTTAAACTTACATCAAAACAGTAGGAGGGTAGAATAAAGAAATTTTCAGTCTACCATGCAAGGTCTCAAAAACTTTACTTTCCATCCCACCCGTATACCAAGAAGCTACTGGAGGATATGCTCCAGCAAATCAGTAAATAAACGAAGAAAGAGGAAGATCAGAATGATAGTGAAGGGAGATCTCGGACACAGAGGTATATAACAAGCCTAGGGTACCATCAGCATCCAGATCAGTGTGGCAAGTAGAGGGTTCTAATAACAAAATTGACAGAATACTCATGATTTGAACATACTGCGAGAAGAGTTTAGAAATGAATTAATGATAGCATTTAAGAATTAAAAAGGAGATAACAATTATTCACTTAATCATATCCTTCCTTTTGTCTATGAAACACCTAACTCTGACAACTTCATTACTCTGGCAATATAAGAACTAAGTTCCTAAAGGTAAAGTTATCCAAATACAGGCTGAAAGAATCCTTTATATTTTAATTTTTTTCCCAAATGGAATCACAATAGTAAAATATAATGAAAGTCTTAGAAGATCTGCTAGCTGTGTCATATTAGGCAAGTCATTTGGCTTCTCTGAGCCTCATATACAAAAATATATACAAAAAGTGAAATAATAATACCTAACCCAAAGCTTTATGTGCAGAATTAAAGAAAGAGATGTGAACATTCCCACCATAATGCCAAGCACATAGTAAGCACTCAGTGCATGTTTGTTAAATCTGAATCATATTGACTTAAAGAGATAAAAACAGCAATTGGCAGACAGACTCCCTCCACCACGTACCTTCTGTGTTGTTGTATTTGTTGTCTGTGTTGATGGCTTGGTGAAGGTTATTTTCACAGGAGACATGTGGGGTGGTAAGGAGTTGGCAATGCTCTGCATGATGTTGCTCATCTTAGGACTGCCACTCACAGGTACAGTGATCGTCTTTGAGACCGGAACAACAGCCTTTGGAACTTCCTTTAGGACAACGGGGGAGGAGCTAGAAGAGTTTGTTCGCCTTCGTTTTCTGGGTTTTTCATCTTCATCTGAACAGCTAACACCTGTAAGGCAGTGACAATATTGCTACATTTATAGCAATATAACCTTGTATTTTATACTTTATTTTTAAATCATTGCATCATCAGTCATCCTTGACCTCTCCCTTTGCCTCATGCCCAATCAGACAGTAAGTTCTATCAATCCTCCCTCAGGGAAGCTGTCTCTGAATGCCTTCCCTTTTTTCTTTAACCCTATGGCCATGTCAGGCCTTCTTATCTCCTGCCTGTATTTTAGCCGACAACCTCCTAAAAGGTGCTTCTAATCTCTCTACTTCCATTCTACCCTTCATCCTACTACCAGCTATAAAAATCTCACACATCTAATAAAGCCAATGCCCTGCCTCAAATCCTTTAGTAGTTTTTATCTCCCTACAAGATGAGGCACAAAAATCATTACTTTATCATTCAAGGTCCCATATCTTTCTAAGAACACAATACCCTATTCCACCCACCTTATAATCCTGGCACACTAAACTGCTCACCGTTCCCCAAAGCCACCTTATCACATATTCTATCCATCTGGAGTCTCTATATACTACTGTTCTTTGGGGAACACCACATACATTCAATGACCTCTTCATCATTCAGCAATCATCATCCTGCAAGCCATCTCCTCGGTGAAGCTTTCCCTTACTCCTCTAAGCAAAGCGAATTCATGTCTCCTCTGAGCTTAGAAAGCACTTTGTACATTCTCTTCTGTATCACTTACTCCATGGTAATGTGGCTGTTAGTCTGCACATCTCCTATTATTAAGGGGCTCCCAAAGGACAACGACTAAGTCTTATTGGTTTGTTTCCCTGGTATAGTGTCTTGCACATATGAAGTTAGGTGAATGAATAATTATATCTCAAACTAATGTTGCCTGTGTGACTTCTGAGAATGAAACAATAAACTTCCTGTTACTTCAAACTATATCTTGTGTGAAATGGTTTCTTCATGTTTGGGATTCACTTTCAACATTTAAAAAAACAATTAAAAAATAGACCTCTATGGTTATTTTAAAAGATCATCTTGGCTAAATCCACAGAAATCTGATATAAACTTAATACTCCCAGATTCTTAGTTTTTTATTAATGCACTAAAGCCTCAACTGTTTTTGTACTTTTTAAAAAAATCAAGTGAGAAACATAAAACCTTGCAATATACATAGGAAATCTCTATAAAGCAGACATTTAAAAAAGCGTACAGCATGACTCATGGAATTGGTAATAAAACATAACTCCTTATACCCTCAATTTTTAAACCCTAAACAAGACTGAAAATGACCTAAAATCACTTGTCTAAAACAGCTAAGTCCACCTCTAAAAGCTACAAAGAAATCAAGTTTATAACTATACTGAGAAAAATGAAAGTCAAATATTAATGATCTCCAGCTGATACCAAAAGCAAATCAATACTGACATAACAGACATTTTAAAAAAATGAACTGGACATTAAACTGCTTCACAGCGTAGAATCAAAGGGGTTAAAAACTGCAAATAGACTTCAAAAAATTACAGTCAACTAGAAATATGAAAGGACTCTCTAGAATGCTTCACTGAATTTAACAGTTGAATGATATGGTACATAAATAATTTTTTAAAACACTACAAAGATTACATTATAGGAGTAAACACTACATAAATGACATAAGCACATTCCTTTAGTTTCTATTCACATTTCTATTCCATGAAAACCAAAACAAGTGAATCTTAGAGTATAGCACTGTTCAAGGCAGATTCCCCACAGAAAACAAAAAAGAAGTAATTTCTCAACCCCCAGAACTGATTAAAAAGCAATATATACCTAGTCACATGTAAAGAAAGGAATTCTTTACAACCTTCAAAAACTAACCACTGCTAATAGCCAGTGGACCAATGAATTAATCAGGAAGGCAGATCTAATCAGAGTCTATGCTGCAGCTTTTAGTCAAGATGGCCCTGATAACACTGAGAGTATCACTTACTTTTGACATAAACAGTACTTCCACTTGGCAAGACAACTACATTGGAGGCAGGACTGGCAGGTCTTGGAGACTTAACCGTTGCTATGCTGCCACTTGGAACAGGAGTAGAGGTTGGGGTTGACGTGGTACTTGTGTAGGAATAGCAAACCACTACTGAAGGAACAATAAAAAAGTCTGCTGTTAACTTTCACCAAAACTGTCCATGCATACAGTAAAATTATTTTTTTTTCTGCAGGCCAATTTTAACATTTTTATATACTTAGAAGTTAGAGGCCAATACTAGGTTAAAACGTATTAATAAGCTTTCCTGAAAATCATCACTTAACTAGGTTTCCCCCAAGTATTTCGCAGCTGTCTACAGGTGACACTGACAATGGAGAAGAGCACAGTTACAAAGAAACCAAGTTTAAAACTGAGAAAAATGAAAATCATTTTTCCTTCATGGCAGGAGTTGGACAAAAAGCATATATTTGTATTCTTTTTTAATACTAAGAGCAGAATCAGTGATGGAGTGATGGATAATTTTTCCCTAACCATAGCAATTTCCAACTTGGCTCCTGGAGAGAAACAAGGTAAGTTTCTTTTATCATAAACAACTCACTAGTCACTTGCCACCTAAGCAGTGCAATAATAACTAAGGTAATGACAACATCGTATTTCAATTTATTGAATAACAACAACAACAAGCAGGAGTAGCTCATAGGCACTATTTACTGAGTACCATACATTGTGCTAAATCCTCTCCATATATTATCACTAATTCTCATAACACCACATCCTCATTTTAAAGATGAGGAACCCAAGGCTCACAGAAGCTAAAAAGACTTGCTGGAGGTCACAAAGCAAAGAAATGGCAAACTAGGATTCAAACATAGATTAGACTATTGAAAATTCTATATTCTTTCCAGTGAACCAGAGAGGTGGTAAATAGAAAAGACAAAAGTCGGAAGAGAAGAAAGATAGCTCTCCTGCAACAAAGAAAACAGGAACTCAATGGAGGCCAAGTTTGCACACTGATAACTGACTCTCCCTAAATAGAGCTTCCTTCCGTGTAAAACAGAGTCTGGCATGTATGAAAGGAATGTCTCATTCTGCTCCACAACCCATTGCTAGTCAAGAAAAGACAATTCTGCAAAGTAATCTGACAACTGCACTATTTTCAGGGTCATTTTCATGTAACACCAAACTAAGCTACCGAAGTCAACCCAAACATGCGCTCTCAAATTTAGTATTACTCTTGGTGACCTCAGGAGACTCCAAGGATTTTTAAAGCATGTATCAGTTATTAGATTAAATAACAATAAGAAAGCCATCCCCATCGGCCACGTAACCCCTAACAGATTCAGCACATTGACTGGAACAGAGAAGCAGCATATACCACTGATTCCAGAAGACAAAAACAGAGCTTTATTTTCTAAAGTATCAGTTCAGCATCTTTCTTCAGCAGATAAATGACTTCTATCATCTTATTAATTTTCCATGTCACCTGTTAAGGCCTCTTATCCACTTCTAACAAGACACGCTCATATCAAAAATTCATTCCAAGAAGGCTTTTGGCAATTTTGTGATTAATATAATTCACACTTTGAACAAAAGGGATATTTAATTTTGGCTGAGACTAAAAACTTGGAAGTTTCTCATTTCAGAACAAGTGTTGCTCATTATGTTTCACAACTTTTAAACACTGAACAAAAACAAATGAAAAATAAGACAACTTTTCTTGAAGAATCTGAGAAAAGTCATTTCTACACACAGAACTATTTCTCTACTCACCTTCCTTGCTTCCTGTTTCTGCAGGCACTGGAAGAGATGCATTGTGCTGGACAGCTGCATTGGCAACAGCATTAGCTGTTACAGTGAAGGCAGTTTGGGGAACCAGCCGAGGCATCAGGGGTACCAATCGACGACCTTCAATGGACCATTCTGAAGAGCTATTAGGTCCAGACATACTAAACAAAAAAGAAAACACTGCTACAAGAGTTCTCAATTGTTAAAAATGAAGCAAATATATACACTCAAATATAACTTTTTAAATTACAAAAAGTGCCCTGAGTGAACAGGAGAGGCTTTAAGCAAGCAAGATCAAAATTATGAATAATAATCAGAATTCAAGGAATTTCACACACACTTAGATTTTTACACATTTTATTCCATAATCTGAATCTTATAATGAACATAATTGAAACTATGAAAAACTGTCCCATGCCTTTTAAATAAATATCAACATTATTTTCATTAGTTTAAATCTGGTATTGCTAATTAAAACTAGTATTTCTACTAACTTTTAGAACTTAATGTTATAATTAAGCTAAAAAGGTAAAAAGTACTCATTATTTCAAAAATCATATTTTCCTGAATAATTAAGGATGGAATTCATTGAACTTTTGTAAAATTATCCTAACTGCCTGCATGGCCAGAGGTTCTAAGGCTTTCAAACAAGGGAAACTGAGGCAGTAAACGAGGGAGACTAGGTACTGGGGGATAGAAGGGAGCTGTATATATCACTGCATGTGTCACTGATAATGTGTTATATTATTATCCTTCCTGTTAAAAAAAGTATACTAGATGTGAGGACACTGCAAGAAACCTGCCACTACTTTAATTTTACTTATTTATACCATTCTTCTCTCTAAGGAATGTTTGAGGCAATTGAACTCTACCCCTAAGCAGACATTATTATCAGTTTTACTCAATTTCTTGAGCAAATTTTATCCTAGGAATTCAAACAGAGGTTGAAATATGAAAAGACAGTTGTTCACTTCCCTTGGCTTGGCTCCACAAAAGGTAGTGGTGTCATTTTTCCTAATGATTAGTGTCGAGGTTTAAAATTCACCCAGAATCAATCAATCAATCAACCTCTTCACTAAGTCAGAAGTATTTCTGCACCTTTTTCAAAACCAAAGATTCTACAACCCAACCTAGAGTTTAAGATTCTGTAGGTCCACTGATTCTTCAAATTTAGATAGAGTACACAAAAGCCCTTGTTAGTGGATAGTGGAATAATGATGATGATGGTAATGATGATAATTAACATCAATTAGCACTTAGTATATGAGAGGCATTGTTCCAAACATTTTACATGTATTAACTCATACAATTCTTTCAATCTTATGAAATTGGTAATATTATTATCTCCATTTTTAAGATGGGAAAACTGAATTACCAAGAGGTTAAATAACTTGCTTATGGTCACACAGCTACTAAATGTCTCCTTCAACAAGCATACATCATGCTACTGAAAACAACTGCCACATCACAAGTGGAAGGTATAAAAATTTTCAAATGTGTTTTGTCTAACTTTTGCCTTTGAATTATAGTAAGTGGGCACTGCTGTCTAATCACTAGTAACTTTCACTGAATGGAACAAATAAATTACTTTACAACTTGAGAAGAATTTACACTCAGTCAAGAAAGGAGTTTCTAGGAGTTGATGAATTCAACTGAGTTACAGTGGGAAATCTGCAAATTCCTTCATGGTATAACATAGTCCTACCTAAGACATGGAAAAGAGGGATTCTTAAGACCCCAATAACCCTCACAAATTTGTTATCACATAATCTCCAAGTTGATGCTAGTTCTGAAACAAAATTCGTACAAACAAGAAAGAGAGACAGAAATAGACCTATTGCTAACTGTCAAAGGAAAAAATTCTAAAAGCTATTCAGCATTTTCTTGGCTTACTCCTATTTTGCTATCATTTTATTAGAATATCACTAATAAATTTGCTTGGTGAGAGTTTACCATACAAATAAAGTGATGTCTACACTTACCTGGTACATTGCTAAATGGTGGCAGAAATTACGGAAGATTAATAATTTAAAATACATGAATATATATGCTATTGAAAGGACAAAATTTGCAGTGCAAAAGATACAACTGCAACTTTTAGAAAGATCTATAAATCTTCCAAATTTCTATCCAGGCAAACATGCTCAAACTTTTTTTAAGTGAATGAAAAATTAAACATCATGTTAGAATTAGATCAAAATTCCTATTTTGCTTACTAATGAGGGTGTATATATGCATTAGTTGCACAAATCATCTAGATAGAATTTTACAGGTTTCTGTAAACATCTTATTCCAGGGCTTTCCTGAGATTCCTAAGTTTCAAAGAACTCCTCTCTATTTATACTAAATATAGCAAGGGAGGGTGGAAACCTGGCTCCAGCCCCTTTTCTGAGAAGTCTAACAAGATACTAGTGGAACTACCTTGGCCCTCTCATCCTTTGGTATGCAGCGCACCAGCATGAAATCCTCATCCTCACATAGAAACTCAAACAGTATCCCATGAATGTCTGGCTGATGGAAAAGGAGTTAAGAGAAGAGTAATTCTGGATAGCCACTTTATTTAGATACAATGCTGGCAAGAGTGGCCCAATTAAAAACTGTGAAGCCCCTTGACATTCCAGGCTTTAATACTATAATATTCTGACATGTTTCAAAACTGAATTAGAGTATCAAACTTAATAAATGGTCTCGTGCCAAATAATAAACACGTGTTATGGTTCAAGCAAGGCTTTTCTTTGATCCCAGACACTCCACTCCTTTTGTTTCCATCTCCTTTGTGCTCAACCTTCTTGGCTTTCTCTTTACCTTTCAACCACATTCCTTCTGGCCTAAGCTGCTGTTTTGAGTGGGGGAGGGAAGGGAGAGGAGAAAGGGAATGCAGTCAGTTCAGATGCATTCCTCCTTGGCTCAAGTTACTTTTTTCAGGCTCAGAGTTTGAAGCCCTCCTATAGA